TGGCTTAGCTTCAGTGTTTTGGCTGAGAACACCCTTAACACTTAAAATAATGCCTGCCTGCGGGGTGTGTGGGGAGGACAGAAGACGCAAACAGCGCCCCCCCGCGCCCCCCCTCCGCCTTGGTCTGGAAAATAGGATGTTTAGGGTTTGGACTGAGGGACCTGGGACCGTGACCGCTGTGAGCAGACCCCTGGCATCCCAAGACACCCCAGCCAACCTCAAGATGCCCTCTCACACTTACAAAGGAAATGCAGGCAGCCAGGAGAAGGATCCGCACCAGGAGGTCTTCAAACTGCTCTACCACCAACTCCCACAGGGACTTCCCTGGGGGACAGGAAAAGGGGGGGGGGTCCCCGGGGTTAAGATCCGAACGGTGAAGGTCTGGGACAATGTGCAGGCTGGGGTCAAGGGACAGGAGTGCCCTGAGCTCCTAGGTTGATGGGACAGGTAGTTGGGTACACAGAGCTAGAAAGCATCCAAAAACAGGCTCCTCAAAGCTGTGTCAAGGAGAAAGTGCCTGGAGACTTCGACTCCTGCACACTAGTTTTGGGGAGGGATATTGCCTTTTGGGAAGGGGTACGGGACCTGTATGAAGAAGGCAGGGAGAAGGGAGTGGAGCACACAGGTAAGAAAGTCATTAGGGAGGGCTCAGGGCTTCTAGTCACTTACCTTCCTCAGTAGGGAGCTCTACCCGGGGGAAAAAGAAGAAAAGGAGTTATTCATTTGGGGTTCTGCCTCAAGCTCACACACACACACCCCGGACCCTGTGGCTAAGGTAAGAGAATCAGACCACCAGAAGGGCATCTGATGTTCACCAAGGTCATCCCATAAGCCTCCCCAAACTCAGGATCTCAGGACCCTGTTTTCTTAGTATCCTCCTCCCCCTGGTGCCATAGCTCAGCTCCTCCCCAGAAGAGCAACTTCCTTCTGTGTGTAGGGGTTGGGGGACACAGGAGGCCCTAGAGGGCCACTTACCATTGGGACCATATTTCTCCAGATGCCGCTTCACTTGGTCTGGGGTGAGGCCTGTGGTCTCACTCACCCCAAAATAGGCCAAACATTCCTCTGTGGTCTTGGAGTGTGCGGCCTCCATTGTGCTCCCTTCTTGGGGGCCAGGAGTGATGTGTTCCTTCTGGGGGGGCTCTCACTCTTGGGGGGCCTTCCTCAGAGTGTCCACCTGCCTGTCAGTCTGGGTTTCTTCCTTTTTCTCACCTGCCCCCCCCTCCAGCTTTTTCTTCCCTCCACGAAGCTCTGACCCCCGTCCCACTTGCAGCAGCGGTCCACCCCCCCAACCCCCAGCTGGTCCTTATGAGGGAGTAGGGGGGGCCGGGCTCCCCCCCTCCTCCAGATCAGGGATTGGCTGGCTGGGACCCCAGCAGGAGGGGTCAGAAGAGAGAGATATTTCTGCTGACGGAGTGGGAACAGTGGGGTTGCAGCCTGAGATGTCACTCATGAGGGAGGCAAAGGTGGCCCCAGCCCCAGAGAAGGGGGGGCAGGGGAGACTTCATTTTCTGTCACCTGCTACTGACTCCTCCCCCAGTTGCCTCTACTTCCCCAGTTGCAATGAGTCTAATTCCAAATTCATCACTACGCCTCCCGAGTTCTCCCTCCAACACTTTCCCTCTCAGGCCTCACCTTTAGTTCTCCTCATCCCTTTTGTGTCCAGTCCATCCTGAGCTGTTTCCATGGTCAAGGTCTCTTCCCTTGCCTAGTGTGTTTAAAGAGCAGCAGAGATACTCCAAGCCTTTGGGGGAATCAAAAGGGAGGGGGAGCATCTTTTGGGGGGTCAGAGGAAGTGGCTCTAGAGGGACAGGGGAAGTAGGGAGGGGAGAGGGTCAGGGCAAGAAGATGGTAACCCTACCCTAGGGAGGGGTTGCTGCAGCCATCAACAAGGGATTTAGTGTCCAGGCTCTGGTGAGCAAAGCCAGGACTGCCTGTCTCTCCCACCTCCCCCCTCCTCTGAGCTTTAGCTCAGCCTCTAAGAACATAGCCTTCAGGGCCCCCCCCATCCCTGACAGGGAATCCCCCCCACCAAGAAAATGGGACACCCAGGCAGCCAGGTAACCCAAGAGGCTACAGAATGTGCTGATGGCAGAGGGGGAGGGATAACTTTCAGGATGGGGCGGGGGTCACCCCAAGTCATGGAATGAGGGTCACCTCATTTCACACTGCACTCCCTTTAACACAGCCAACCCCAGAGACTGGCCTTCGCTCTGCTCCAAGGCCCCCGATGCAGCTACCCTCAGGCGGGAGTGAGGATCGGACTTGGGTTAAGTGCTCAGTGCTGGGCCTGCCCTGCTGAAGAAAGATGAAGGGCAGGGTTCCTGGGGAAGCAGAGGATCCAGAACAAGGGAGTGGGGAGGGGGCAGGTCCATAGGAATTGAGGATAGAACAGAGCTGGGGAGAGGGAGCAGAGAGGCAGAGCCGCCAGGGTCAGAGGGAAGTCGGAGGAGCAGGGGAAAAGGAACACTAGGGATCTGGCTGGCGGCGGCCAGGTGGGCGGGATCCTGGGCTGGGTGCAAAGCCACAAGTTGCTGCTGAGCGGCTGGCCTCGGTGTCAGCTTCCTCGGAGAAGCAGCTGCGCTGAGCCTCCCTTCCCCACCCTGCTCCAGTGTGGGGGCGTCTTGCTTTCCCCCAGGGCAGCTGCTGGGGGAAACAGACAGGGATCCATGGAGGTGGGAGCAGGCAGGGAGGAAGGTGAGGCAGAGAAGTTCCATGAGGTAAAAGTGAGGTCAAGCAGCCTTGTTTCTCTGACTGTGACCAGGCTTGTTTCCTGCAGTGACCAAGGTGTGCTTCCTACTGTGGGGCTCCAGCTCTCAGGCAGAACACAGCACAGTAAGTGGTGGGGTGGGGCAGAGCAAAGGAAAGCTGATTTTGGGGAGGGGGACAGCCAGCAGGGGTGATGGGACTGAAGTAAATACTTCCAGAGGCCTTCCAGACTCCTGTCTTCTGCCTTGGGGGAGGGACAGCCTTCTGGGTGAGCTGAGGACAAGATGTTCCTTCCCTCCTCCTTTTCACAGTTCCCACAAAGCCTTCCCTGCAGCAGAGTCCTGCTTTGACCTGAAGAGGACTCAAACAATGGGGTCACTTCAACAGGCACCTTTCAGGCCCAGGATGACTCCTTTCCAACAGCACCTGGAGGAGCGACAGGGCCACTGCCCTACAGCAGCAGGAGTGCCCAAACATGGAGAGGGGAGTGGGTAGCAGCTTCAAGGGAGTTGAGCAGCACACAGGGAAGGAAACAGGCTTTGCAGGGTGCACCTGCCAATGGGGCCCTTTGAGGTTATTCATTTTTCTCTCCTCCAGCATCCCAGAAGGGACTGCCAACAGCCAAGAGCTGCAGAAGACCAGCCATCAGGGAGGCCTGGCTGAGCTGGGGAGGGCAGGCACCAGATGCTCTCCTGGACCCCTTCCCCTGGGGGTCTCCACACCCAGGGTTGAAGGTGTTCTTCCTGCCTGAGGTCTGGAGCTGAGGGTTGGGAGAGGCCTATTTCTGAAGGATGTGGAAACAGAGCCTGGCCCATCCCTGACCATTGGTTAAACTTCAGTTTAACCATCTGCAAAGAAAGGCATAGAGGGAATGGCTTCCAGGCCCCTCCAGCAAAGACATGCCAGAGGAGAGCGGGTGGGGGTCCTCATGCTGGTCCCCTGCCCCATCTCTGGAAAGCAAGTCCCTGAAGTCTGGCAGGGTTGGAAGGAGAACTTCAGAGCAGCAGCTGCTGCTAGATTAGGAGAGGATCAAGCCCTGCCTATCCTGGAGCACCAGTCTGTGCTGGCCATCTCTCTTTGAAAGCACAGCACCCAGGTCTCTCCAAGCACACCCTTCTCCAGGGCCAATTCTGTCCCCAGTCTCCTGAAGCCAAGGTTTGGGGAGCCCCAGGGATGGGACAGAACAAGGAGAGCCAGCAGGCTTCCCCCGGCCAGCCCCCAGCTTGGGTGGCCTGTGCATGTCCAGCTGTCTCCTGTCCATCTACCCATAGGACTCAGGGCCCAGAATAGCAAGGTCATGAGCATGGGTCAAGCCTCCTGGAGGTGGGGCAGAGGCAGACAGACACCTGGGGTGGGGGACAGTAAGGCAGATGGCAAGAGGCAGGGTGTGGGGGTACTGCTGAGCACAGTAGGGTGGGAGTCTTCAGACCCTGCTCAGGCTGGCAGCAGGGAGAACCCAGGATGCCCTCTGTTGGAGGAGGGCAATGCAGGAAGATGACTGCAGAGGGCTGAGCTTTGGTTCAGAGCTCAGGCCGCAGCTCAGGTGAGGGACATTAACTGGTGGGGTAGAGCAGGTGTGGAGGCCATACCCAGGCAGCTGATCTGACGTGTCTGTGTGTGTGCGTGTGTGTGACTGGAGGTTGAATGCAGGGCCTCGTACATGCTAGGCAAACACTACACCACTGAGTTACATCCCCAGCCCTGATCTGACTTTCAAGGGAAACTGGTAATCTGAACATGCATATGATACTCAAATGGGACCATTATCCAGGCCACACAAATCATGTCATCAGCACAAACAGAAGCCTCACATTTTACACAGGAGGATCCTTTGGCCAAGTAGAGTGGCCACATAGCAAATAAGGGCTAAGCCAGGTGTGTAAGCCAGTGCTCTGCCATCTAGTCTCCGGCTTGGCTCTGATAAAGGGGGCCACCAGCCTGCCCTTGGGCCCCTCTGCAGTCAGACTGAGTGCCACATCAAATCCCCAGCACACACACTGCATCCCCACCCCCCTCTCCCTGCTTCCCTAGGGTAGGAAGATTAACTCAAGAATTCAGTGCAGGAAAGGCCCTTGGTGACCATCAATCCTGTCATTTGCTGTCCTGTCCCATTAAGAAAATGTGCTGGCCCCAAGAGGCACTAAGCTCTGCACACCAGCCAGCCCACAGAGGAATGACAGCCCTGAAGGCCCAGCTCTCTGGCGTCTCAGCTCAGGAGCACAGAACACCGGGTGAGACCTTCCCGACCTGCCTGACCCAGGCCCCATTGCAAACACTAGCCATGCCATTACGATAGAACTGAGATAAACCCTTTTATTTTATTTATTCTTCTCCATTTTGTTTAAAACAACAACAACAACCACCTTATTATAACTGACAGCCCTTCTCCCTCACCCTTGCTTGGGGTGAGGGGTGATTAGTGGGGAAATGGCCCCCAGGGGTGGGGCTGACCATAAGAGCCCCTCAGGGAGGTAATGGAACCCAAGTCCCCAGCTTCAGGGAAGGGGCACCTGTAGTGTACAAATTGGGGGTTAACAGGGGCTCTCAAACCATTGCTTGTACCAACACACACCCTTGGCTGACAGGATCAGGAAGCATGTGGGGAGGGGAGTCCCACTCTCCTTTATGTCCCTACCCAGCCTGGTCTCCTGGGTCTGACACTAGGGAGCAAGGAGAGTGGAGAGTGGCCAGGAAGGAGAACAGGGGGTGGGGGCTCACACAAAGGAGTACTGGTTATTAATGGCTCTGGGATGGCACCCTTCTCCATTGCCCCCTAGTGGTAACTGCTGGAACTGCACCATCATGGTCACCACTGAGGCCCCACCAGAGGCAGCACCACCCTGGGCCTCTGTGCCTGGTGCTATGGCCTCTTCGAATTCCACCACGGGGACCAGCTCAACCACGGGGACCAGCTCTTCCTGGCCCCCTCCACTGCCCGCTTTCTCTTTCTCTTGCCTCTCTTTGGCTGCTGCGGAGGCTGCTGCCGCCACTTCTGGCGCCCCCGCCGCCTCTTCTGCCCCAGGATGTGGGGGATCTGTCCATGGAGGGGGTTCAGGGGGCTGGGGTGGGTCATGGGAGGTGTTCGGTTCTGGATAGGAATGGTAAGAAGACACTGATTGTGGAGGGAGGTGAGCTCTGGCAGTGGCCTCCCCTTTGCTTGTCCCCCAGAAACCATGTGCTATCTCCCCCGCACCCCGTCTCCTGAGCAACCCCCTCCACCCATGGAAGATGGATCATGGGCAGCGGTGAGAGGAGGACCACACTTACACACAGTCACTCGCTCCGAAGGGCATGAGGGTGGAGGAGGCCTCGGGGTAGCATCGATCTCCCTCGCACACCCCTGCATGGCTCCCGGCCTGCTCCGGGCCTGGGGAGGGGAGGGTCACGTGGGGACAGATGGGACATTGGGGTGGGGGAAAGGGAGAGATCAGACAGGGACATGAGACATCAAGGGAGGAGAGAGGGGGATCACCAAGCATCCCCCAGTAGGGCAGGCCCAAGGCAAAGTCACGATGACTGAAGGGCAAAGACAAAGCTGGGGAGGATGAATCTGGGAGACAGACGATGATGGTGCGGAGGAGCTGATGGAATGGGAATGCACCACCCAGCTCTGCACTGCTCCCAGCCTGCAAGGAACCTGTCTGCCTACATCCTGCCAGCCTTCTTTTGTCCCTGTCCCTTGCGGGCCTCTTGCTGCCCTGCTCCCTAACAGCCTCTCCTCCAGCCCCACCAGCCTTTCTGGCACACACACCTCACTTGCTGGGTGCGCGGGCGCCTCCTCCCCGGCAGACCTGCTCTGCTCACCCTGCTGCCGTTGGGAGGGCACGTAGCTGACAAGGACCACATCGCTGGAGCCTCCAGACTCCAGAGGGATGGGGTGTACCCGGAAGTGCTCGAGCATATCAAAAATGGACTGGAACCACAAGTGCTGGACCCGGCACTGGCCCTCCTCATTCAGTGACAACCGCAGGTGCTAAGGGAAGGAAGAGCAAGTAAGGTGGCAGTGAAGGCTCCTGCCAACTACCAAACCCTCTTCTTCTGAACACCTACGGTGCTCTGCACACCAGAGTTCTTTCTTAGGGCTACTCACCTTGGCCTTGCCCTGGAAGTTGAAAGTGAGGACATACTCGCCCCGCCTTGTCTCGCTCTGACGTACCAGGAAGACACCATGGGAGCTGGCACCTCCTTCCAACACTAACTGGGCAGCCTTGAGTCGAGAGAGCATCCCGTGGAACCAAGGGTATCCTGACAGGGGCTGGTCCCCCTCACCTCCCTCTGACTCCCCCTGGAACAGGAATGACCCTTCAGAAAGGAGAGAGGGAGGGAAACCAGGGTGTCAGGGAGGCCTTCCCCATCCTGGGAGAAAAAATCCTTGCTTCCCCACCCCAGGCACCTCTTCCCCTCCAGTGTTACCCCTCCTCCTGGGTTAGATCCCTCCTGCTCCCCAGACAGGAGCCTCAGGAAGGGAGGCAGCTGGCCTGGAGACAGATACTCCACCCCTACAGTACCTGTAGCTGTTTCCGGAGTGTCCAAGGGAGGGTAGGGGGCTGAAAGGGGATGAGCTATCCCTGCTGGAGGGCCCTCCTCAATAGGGATGCGGGGGGGCAACTCTGGGGGAAGCAGTTCCATTGAGTCAAAATGGGAGGCAGCAATGGAGGCAGAACTGGGGGAGATGGATGCTGAGGGCCGGTCGGAGAGGCCCCCGTAAGCCCCTGGAAGGAGACAGAGGAGGACAAGTTGAGAGCACCACACACCCTCTTATGGAGACCTGGTCCCTGGACCATTTCCCCACCAGCAGTCCATCTAATGTGCCCAACCAATGGACACCTCCACAGGCAATAACCCCTGACAGGACCAATGGTACCACACTTCCAGTTCTTTCACTGTTTGGGGGTAGAGCTACTGCGAGGAGGTCCTAGAATCCAAATGTGCCTAAGTCTTTTCTGAATCGACAGCCGGAAGACTGTTGTAAAGGTGTGGGGGTGAGGATATGAATCTCTCAAATATTTTCACATTAGGAAGGAGTCCTTTGTTTGAAGTACAGGACAAAGCTCCCAACTCTAAGAAGCATCAAAAATTCTTCTGTCGCGCGGCACACACCTGTATTCCCAGCACTCAGGAGGTTAAGGCAGGAGGAGTTCAAGTTCCAGGGCAGCCTGGGCTACATAGTGAGGACCCTGTCTCAAAAAACAATAGGGCTGGGCGCTGATGGCTTGTTCCTATAATTCTAGCTACTCAGAAGGCAGAGATCAAAAGGATCAAGGTTCAAGGCTAGCCCAGTTAAAAAAAGCAAAACCCTATCTAAAAAATACCCGACACAAAAAGGGGCTGGTGGAGTGGCTCAAGTGTTAGAGCACGTGCCTAGTGTAAGGCCCTGAGTTTAAACCCTAGGACCATCAAAATAAAACAAAAAAAAATACCATCAAAAAAAGGATGGTGTGGTGACTCGTGTCTGTAATTTCAGCTACTTGGGAATGGAGATAGGAGGATCATGGTCCAAAACCAGTTAGGTAAAAGCACGAGATCTTATATGGAAATACACTAAAGCAAAAAGGGTTGTGGGTGTGGTTTAAGTGGTAGAGAGCTTGCTGGTACCCTAGCAAGTACCAGCACATACACAAAATCTTCCTCATATTGGTTCCCCTAAGATAAATCAACTCGGTCTTTACCTTCACTGAATCCATGGGTTCTCCACTTTTGCACATTTATCCTACTCAAGTTTTCCAAGCATCCTAGCCCTCCCCACCTCAGGTGTCTGTGCCTTCACCTCCTTCAAGCCATGTTCTTCTCTTGCCTCCTCTGGATGGTGTTCTCTCTATTCCACCTTCCCTGTTCTTTTTCTTCCTATGCTCCCAAAGTATTTCCTGCTGATGCTACTCAGAGGACACTACACACAGACTCTCCATTTTGGGAACCTGCTTTTTATCAGGAGCCAGGTCTTGCCAACTCACCTAGATTGAGCCCACAGAGGGCAAAGAGTTCATCTCAGGTATCTGAGTTCCCCTGTCTGCCCCAGGGCTCTAGGGTCTGCCTGAACATCTGCTGAGCCGCAGGCCTTGGCCTACATGAGCGCTGGCTATAGTGCTAAGACAGGCATGTGTGGAAAGGTCTCAGAAACCAGGCTGGCGTAGTCCACCTTTGTCACTGACTCTCGGTGCCCTTCGAAAAGCTATTTCCAACCCCTGGTTTTGCATGCCTGAGATCTAATAACCTGTAAGGTCCATTCTAGCTCTGAGAGTCTATGATTCCTTTGTCTATTTGCTGTGTAGAATCTCTGGGCTAGGCACTGTGAAGATGAAACTGAAAATAGAGGACCAGGAGAAGAGGGTACAGTGGAAGCCAAATGTAGCAAAGCAAACTGGGCCAGGCAGACATGTGCCTTTGTATGAGTATGTTTGGTCAGGCCAAAAAGTACAGCTTTGGTGCTCTTGACATATACACAGAGATGCAGTGTAAGAACAAAACAAAGACACCTACAAAGTGTTCTGGAAGCTTGACGAGAACCATGACCTTCAGCTAGCATGGTGGCCTTCAGCAGACTTACGGAAAAAGTGACAAAGCTAGGCACAGAAGGTTGAATAGGAGTTTGCGTGGGGCCTATGTGGGCTTATGATGGTGATGGTGGCCCAAGAGTGTTTGGCATGTTTGGGAACAAAAGACAAACAACTGGTGGGGTGGAGGTGGGGTGGCTGGTGAACAGGAATGGATGGGGTGCCCAGTAAAGTCTGGAGGAAGGGTATGGTACCTGATAGCAGGAGTCTTGCATGGCAGGTAGCGAGACTCCCAGTTCTCAAAGGGTCCACCTTACCCTGAGACAGGCGGTCATTGCTCTCGCTGGGTCCCAGAAGCAGGTCCTGGCTGGGCAGACTCTCTGAGTGATTCAGGCAAGTTAGCTCCAGGCTGTCTGTGTTCTCTCTTGTGAGGAAGGAGGTTCCAGGGGCCAGAGGGAGGGTCATGGGGCGAGGACTGGTAGCAGGGCAAGGTCTGCAGAGACAGGGAAAATGGTGCTGGGGAGGTCACTGGGCAAGAAGCACAAAACTGTTCTCCATCCCCACCCAGGTCGCTGCAGTGACAAAAGGCAGGCTCCTCACCCTGGGCTCAAGCATTCTTGGATGTCAGACACCCAGGCCTTCACATGGAGAGCATCAGCAGTCTCTAAGATGTACTCTGAGGGGCCTTCCACCTTCAGGACCAAGAGGAGGGCCTTGGTCAGGGCAAGAGATAGGGAAAAGGCCCACAGAACACACAGCCAGCCCCAAGGGAAACGAGAACATATCCCTCTCTAGCCCCCTCCCAGAAAAGCCACAGCCTGAGACACACTCTCGAGGCCCTTGGTACCTCCCTCTGCCAATGACATTTGCTTAAATGTCCTGAGAGCTTCCTCCCCAGCACAAGCACACCATGGAGAAGAGGGCTCAGCATGCCTACCTTCACCACAAATGTGTTTTCCCGGTCAGGCATTTCCAGGGCTGTGGTTGTCCGGACATCGGTGATAGTGGAGCAGGGAATGCTGAGTCGGGGCCTTGAAGCCTGGGTGGGAGAGGGAACAAGAGTCAGCTTTTTGGTACACTGAGACTATCTCCCCCTTCCCTTCAGACATTCATCTTTTCTTCTAGGTCCTAGGGCAGGTGGAGAGGCAACCATGCTGCTATACTAGGCCTGCAAATAACAGCTGACTCAGAGCCAAGAGCTAGCTCTAAACTCAGAGGGTCAGGAAGCTCTGAACACAGGGCTGGTGAACCCTGTGGCTATCTGCAGGGCAGAGCCACCACTTTGACTGATCTGTTACCACTCCCAGTCATACTCCACTTCCCCTCCTGTGGGCTCACCTTGGGTGGTACAAAGAACTCCAGGCGACTTCCTCCTCCTCCTTCTCCTTCACTCCGAAGCAGTAAGCGACACTTCTGCCACTGAGGTTGCGCTCCACCCCCTGAGGTAGGCCCAGCTGCCCCTCCTCCTCCTCGGCCCACTCCAGCCGGGTCAGGGGCCGCCTCTTCAGCCCCCATGAAACTCAACAGCTCTTCCCTCTGCACCATCCCTGCTCCATCCTTCAAGGCTCCCCCTCCCCGACTGAGTCTCAACCTCTCAAAACGGTGAGTCCATCTCTCCCCGGGGGACGCGCCATCACTAACCAGTCCCCTACCAATGCTCCCAGTCCCACCAGAGGAGTTGGAATTGCTGTTTCCACCCAGTACTGGGGGACCCGAAGAGGTTTCCAGGGGCCCGGCTGGGGAGGGAGGGTCAACAGTTCCCCGCCACTGCAGGATGCCACGGACTGAGCCTCGGACGGAGCGACCCACTGAACGGAGGGAGAAGCGTTTCTTGAGCTTCGGCTTCGAGGAGGTTGTAGAAGAGGAAGAGACCGAGGAAGGGAGGGGGCCGGCCAGGTCCTCAGATGATCGAGAAGGGCCCAGCACAGCCAGGGGCCCACCCACCCTACAGCTCTCAAGGGACAGGTCCTGAGGCGGACTCTCCATGCCAGGGTTCAGGGGGGCCAGGACGGGAGGTGAGAGGGAACCCGAGGCCCGGGCCACCTCTGCTTCAAAGTGCTGCAGGAAGAGCTCAGCGAAACGGCGGGAGAAGGCGGCCTCTGCACCGGGCCCTGCATACTGCGGGTGGGAGGCCAGGTAGAGGCGGAAACGGCGGGCAAAATCCAGGGCAGCAGCCCGTGCATGGGACTCACAGAACTCCCGCCAACTTGGGGGAGGGGGTGGTGGTAGAGGGGGTGGGGAGGGGGAGGCCCCATCCTCTGGGGAAGGGGCACCATTCATGATGGGCCCCAGGAGGAGGAGAGGGAGAGCCTGAGGGGAAGGGCAGCAAAGAGGGAAGCGGCCAGAAGACACGGGGTGAGCGGCAGCAGCTGCAGGAAGAAGAGAGAGGCACATACATGGAGTCACCGCAGAGGTGGGACAGGGGACATCCCACCCCAAGCCAGGAACTCCTTATTGTGGTACAGACTCCTCAGAGGGCAATGGGGGAGAAAAACCAAACTGCCTCTCCCTCTCTCAGATCTGCATACCCCACACACTTCAGGGATGTGCTCCCTAGTGTCTAGCCTGCATCTCTCTTGCTGCCTTTGTGATCACTCTCCCTGACCTGGGACCCGGGATTCAGGAGCGAGGGGGTTGTGGAGCACCTTCCTCCACAAAGGACTTTTCCAGATCACATTACCCTCTCTAAGACGAATCCTCCACACCTATCACACACTTCCCATGTGCCTTTTGAGATGCTGCCGCAGGGTCATCTTACCTTCCCCTGTGAGGACTTAATAATCTCCAACAGATGAAGAAACCAAAGCTCAAACAAGTTTCACAATTTCCAGTCTACTGTGCTTCCCAATGCACTGGCCAGGACTGGTCTGGGCAGACTCAGCCCCAACTCCTTACTGCCCCAGGTTGCAGGGTGCTAGTGAGGCCCTGCCTCATGCATCCTAGGTCCAGCTCTGAGGACGGATTTGCTCATTCAGGGTGATGGATGGATGGACTGAAGCAGCCCTTGTCTCAGAAGCTGACCCCAGAGCCCAGCACCCAAGTACTGAGTGAAGGAGACCTGGCCTGGCTACGGTCCACTTCCTGGAAGCCCCCTTTAGTCTGTGACCCAGCAAGCAGCAGCAGAGAAACAGAAGAAACAGCAGAGTGGGTCAAGACAAGTCTTTGTGGCCACGATGTGAATAAGACATCACAGGGAGCTGGAGCCCTAGGAACATTCTCCCTGCTTTTCTCTCCCTGGGAAATATACCCTAAAGGCTGGTTAACCTGGTGCTTAAGGGAAGGGGTTCTGGAGTCAGGCTTGGGCTGAAACCCCAGCTCAGCCACCTGTTAGCTGTGTGTGATCTTGAATAAATTATACATCGTCTCTGAATCCCAGCTTTACTGTCTGTGAAACAGAGCTAATGATCCCTAACCTCTACAGCTGTTGGGAGAATGGAATGGAATGGAACATGTCAGTGCTTGACACAAAGCACACAAGAAATGTCTGCATTATTACCATCTTTATGCGGAAGAGCAGGGTTATAGTTCCAACTTTCTAAAAGAGAAATGAGAGAGAGGAAGAGGCTTCCCAAGTGTCACAACTAGAAATTGGCAGAGCTGGGTGTGGAATTTACAACCACTGGCTCTTTGGTTAAGATGGAAGGTGACAGCCCCAGGGCAGCTCAAGGATCTCCCCAAACCATCAGGGACGTCACAGACAAGCTGTAAGTCCACACATCCCTCCCTTTCTCCTTGGCCTGGACACTAGGAACTCAGATGGGCCCAACCATAGGGACAACTCCAAATCAACGAGAAGCAGCCAGGAGATGCGGGAGTCATGGAGCACAGGGGAACCGAGCCAAGAGGTGCAGACACAGCAAAGACATCCCCAGCCAGAGGCCACCTCGGCCCGCACAGGCCCACCCAACCCTCTGCGCCATTGGCAGAACCAGCCCCCTTCAAACCCGCTGACCCCGCGTCTCCTGAGCCGGTGACTCAGTTTCTCTTCCGCTAAGCAAGACTCAAGACACAATTTCCCGGTGCACCTGCCTCTTGGCTCAGTTCTGACATTTCCCGAAGGGCGGGTGGTGGAGGGTGCAGGTTCCGCTCCCGGCTCGGACCCTCCAGGCCCGGTGGTCAGTTCACTCCGACCCGACCCTACTCGCTGGTCATCCCCCCCCCGACAAGCCCCTTCCCGGGGCTGCAGCCTCCCAGGGACCAGCCCTGTCTGCCGCACTCTCGGAGCCGAGTGCCCTCCTGCCCCGGGCCCCCACGCCCACCCCGCCCAGTGCTCCTCTCAGGCGCCAGGGTCGGGTCGCGGAGAGGGAAGAGGCACTTGAAGAGGGGGGTTCCGGTTCCGGTCCCACCTGCATCTCGGTCCCCGCGGTTAGCTCCGGCGGCGGCGGCGGCGGCTCCCGCTCCCTGAGCCCCCCCACCTTCGCGACGAGCGCCTAGCCCGGTTCTGCGCAGGCGCCGGGACCCCGTTTCCCGTCGCGGAAGGAAGAGACCATAGAGAAGAGAGGCGAGAGCGAAGGGCACCCTCGAACTCATTTCCGCCATCCTCCACTTAGCGCAGACCCTTTAGGAGCTAGGAAGCGGGGGGCTGGACCGAGCTGCAATGACTTCTCTCGTTGCATCTGAAAGGGACCACTGAGGCAGCCATGGGAAGGAGTTAGGTCCCACCAGAACGTCCTCCCGGAGGAAATTTGGGACAAAGGGGAGAAGTCCACCATAGAGAAGGTACCTGAGGAAGTCCCGAGGCCCCGCGGAAGGCTAGAGTAGCCACCGAGCGCCGAAAACCAAAGAGACGATAAGGTTTCTTGGAAGGACCTGCTGCAGCCTAGAGCGCCTGGCCGGGACGCCCAGGGGAACATGGACACCGCCCCCAAGGAGTTGGGCGAGGGACGAAGCGGATGACCTTGGGGAGGCCCTGTGAAAAGGCGGAGCCTGAACCTACGACCTTGGTATCCCAGAGGAAAGGGGCAGGCAGCCCGAGGAGGTGCTGTCTCTTGAGTCGGAAGTAAAGATGGGTCGCACAAATAGGTCAGTTTCGGACGTGCCTATGGGACATCTCAGCAGGTGTGCGGACACACAGCTTGGAGCCCAGGAAAGGCATCAAGACTAATGCTTGAATGGAGAACTAAGGTATAGAAGGTAGTGCACGAAGTCCCTCTAGCAGTCCAGTCTCATTGACCAAATTCCGCTTTGGCTCAAGTAATTGAGAATACCAGGATGGATCAGGATGTGCTGAATATAGGGGTCCAAAGATACCAGGTGCTGTGGCTCACCTATCTCTGCTTCAGCTCTCCCACGAATTTGGCTTCACTCTCAAAGGCAGGCTGTCCTTTCTGATGGTGAGATAGCTTTACGTATCTTTCAAGTCCTAATCTCTTAGCAACTTGGTAGAAGGAACACGCCTCTTTTCTGAGATTCTCAGTAAAATTTCCAGGACTAGCTGATGGGATCACATGCCCATCCTGGAACAAGGAGGCAAGTAACCCAAGAGATGAAAATGGATAAGTGGCCTCACTCAAAAAAGAATGTTTCTGCAAAGCCGCTGGCTCACGCCTGTAATCCTAGCTACTCAGGAGGCAGGGATCAGAAAGATCATGGTTTGAAGCCAGTCCTGGGCAAATAGTTTGCAAGACCCTATCTTGAAAAAAACCATTACAAAAAAGGGTGGATGGAGTGGCTCCAGGTGTGTGCCCCGAGTTCAAATCCCAGTACTGCAAAAAGAAAAAAAAAAAAAAAACACAACAAAAAAACCACCTGAGGCTTCCAGGTACAGTTGCAAAAACTTGCTGAGGAAAGACAAGTGTCTGGTGTAGACACCCTAAGTCCCCCAACTCTAATCAAAGATCAGCTCAGAGACAGGGCTTATTAAGGTCTTCATCGTCAACTTTGTCCACCCCTCTTTCCAGTTCAGAGGAGGATGCAATGAAATGGACCCTACTCTTGGCCCATCTGTTTAGGACAGACAGTGAAGGAATATAGAAGGGTTTGGATGTATTATGTCTAAACTGTCCAGTTAAGCTTGTTTGGCACAGGGTTTTGCTGGGGGTCAAAACCAGGGCCTCACATGCTAGGCAATTGCTCTCCCACTGAGCTACATCCTAGCCCCAAATAAAACATTGAGTTAACTAAAATCGTCTACATCAGCCTTATTCAATATTGTAGGCTGTTAGCCACATGCAGCTAGCCACATGCAGCTGAGTACTTGAAATATAGCTGCTGTGACCAAGCCACATGTAGTTAGTGGCTACTGTATTGAACAGTGCAGGAGATGTCCTTGTACAACTAGGTGGAGCTGTCCAACAGAGATGGGCTTAATAGTGTGAACTGCACAAAGCAGACATGAGCAGTGGTTGAAGTCATGGACACGAACAAGACTGTCCAGGTAATATATGTAGAGAGAAGAGGGCTGAGGTCCTAATTCTGGGGAACAGTCAACATTTAAGGGTAAGCAGCTGGGCGCCAGTGGCTTACATCTGTAATCCTAGCTACTCAGGAAGCAGAAATCAGGAGGATCAAGAAGCTAGTCCTGGCAAGTAGTTTACAAGGCCCTATCTCCAAAACACCCGACACAAAACAGGTCTGGCTGAGTGGCTCAAGTGATAGAGCACCTGCCCAGCAAGCGTAAGACCTTGAGTTCAAACCCCCAGTACTGCCCCCCCACCACAAAAAAGGAGAGATATAAAGTGCTGAAATGACATCGTGGGTCATATTTCCCAGAAACACCTTGAGATGGGGGGGTTTGTGTTCAGTGTGTTTAAGTGATTTAAGATAATGCTGAGTCCATCCCACTGGAAGAAGCAACGACAAAACCTAGTAAGAGAAAGGAGTCAGGGAGAGGGAGAAGGAGGGAGAGGAAGCCAAGAAAGCATGTGCTATCAGGCAGAGAGTAGTTCATTTAGATCCCACAAGAGAGCCCTGGAAGTAAGTTATGCCTCATCTGTTCAGAAACAAGGGAGCTGGGCCATTTATACATTGGCCCAGGGCTGCCCCGGGGAGAGAGCAATTCCCATGCACTTCCATCAAGGCAAAGCCCTGCAGCAGCATGAATATGTGCATTAAAATAAATAATAAAAAATTCGAAGTTCTAACTGCTGGAAGAGAAATCACACACCAGGACCAGGGTGCAAGTACACGATGTGTACATGCATGTATGTGTCCAGGGAAATGGCCAATACACATGCATGTGCACACGTAATATAAAGGGAATTAGGGCTGAAAACTGCTGTCCCCTGTAGAAGACAGGAATACCTAGCCATACACCAGTGGCTCACGCCCATAATCCTAGCTACTTGAGAGGCAGAGATCAGGCAGATCATGGTTCCAGGCCAGCCTAGGCAAATAGTTTGAGAGCCCCTATCTTGAAAATACTCAACACAAAAATAGAAACAAACAATAAAGGAAACAAAACAAGTATCCAACACAAACAAAGGCTGGCAGAGTGGCTCAAATGGTAGAGCACCTGCCTAGCAAATATGAGGCCCAGAGTTCAAACCTCAGTTCTGCCAATTAAAAATAAAGAAATAAATAAAAAAGACATGGATAGTTAAGAAATTGCTGAGTGGCCTTGGTGAGTAATTTTAGGAAGTGGTGATACCAGAAGCCACATGATGGTGGTCTGAGGAGTAAGTGGAAGGTAAAGAGGTGGGAGGAGGAATGTGGCAAGGTGTTCTACACAGTATGGCTGAAAAGGGAAGGACAAAGAGATGGAGGGTTGTAGGTGGAGAAGGTGTGGAGCACAAGACTCTGGGTTCCATCCCCAGCATTAAAAAAAGAGTAGCAAGGTTTGCTGAGGGAGACTTGACTTTGAAGAAATTTAACGGGGGAAAAAGCCAGAAGGATGGTCATCAAAGGAGCAAAGTTCTGGGGGAGGCAGGACAGGATATCTGGGTCAGGTTAAACCAAGTATTAGTATGAAGTGGGAGGAACACTTCTTCCTCATGAATGGTGTTGTAACACTCAGGATGCTTTCAGCTATAAGTAACAGGAGCCCCAATTCAAATGAGTTTAAACATGAGAAGGAAAATTTATTACTTTAAAAACTTGAAAAGTCAGTGGTACAATGACTTCAGGTGTATCTGGAGCCACAGGCTCAAACAATGTCATTCTGAACTTGGTCTTGTCTCTTTTAACCCTGCTTTCCTTTGGATCATCTTCATTTTCAGGCAGGTTGTCTCTTTGGTGGGGCAGGATGGCCAACAGCAGTCCAAGCTCCATTCTCCCGGCTTACTAACTGTCCAAGAAAAAGCTTCAGCAAGTGAAATAGGATTGAGTCTTATCAGTTCAGCTCTTGGTCACCCTATGACCATCTGTTGTATAGTGGAGAATTTGGTCTTTGTCCCAGGTTCCTGGCACAAAGCTGCTACAACACTTAGAATTTCCTGAGCAATGGAAATGTCTGTTATTCATCAGTACCTTAGAGCACACCTGAGGTTTTGCTAATGAGGTGACTCATGGCAGCTCTTATGTAGATTCAGGATGGTGACTGATCACCAGAGAGACCAACGTGGTGATTAATGGCTTGGAATTTTGAGTCAGCTGACCTCTAGGGAGGTGAGGGGGCCTGGAGACTGATATCAGTCACACAGTCAATGATTCAGTCAACCATGCCTAAGGAATGAAACCCCAGTAAAAACTCCAGACAAGGTTTGCAAGTGTCCTGGATGACAAACATACTGGTGTACCAGGAGGACGAAGTACCTGGGTTTTATGGGGAGAATACGCTGGGGCTCTAGCTTTGGATTCTCCCAGAACTTGTCTGCTGCATGTCTTCATTTGGCTGGTTCCAGTTTGTACCCAATAAAACCAATTCAAACTTAGCACCTCTTGCTCTCGATGAGTCATCCTGAAGAATTACCATATTGTAGGAATCCACGCACTGCTGACCCACCTAGGCCACCTTTCAAGTGCCTTTGACTTGGCAGCTTTGTGACATTCAGTGTTGCAGATTTGATTATTTTGTCACACATCTGGCATGTGTGACCAGAGCTCTGTATTTGGAAGGGCATCAGGGCTAGTACACAGGAGTAGGGATTGGGAGAGACCTGGGGACAGAAAGGTGGTGCAGGGATCCAGCAGAGGGCTGAAGCCCACCTGGAGACAGCAGTGCAATAGGGTCAGTGCCAAGGGTAACATGCAGCGAGCTCTCTAAGGAGGCTTTCCCAGGCTGAGCAGGGGGAAGAGAGGTGGAGACCCTTGAAGTTCCTAAGAGGGTCTGCAAATGGTGACAGAGCTCTGGGGCC